ATAATGGCACCAATGATCAGAAATATTTCTTAATCATGAGATAAAATAGAATAATTCTCTGCCTTTAAGTTTCTTGACGTCCTCTATTCTCAGCCAAAGTTTGATGGCAATCATTTCTCCATCGTCCTCTTCTGCCAATTCAACCCTGACCCCTGTGTCCTCCTGAAAGAATGCATGGTTCAGCAGGATCTTTATGGCATACCTACAAGAACAAGAGACAACAAAGAGGATCCATGAGGAAACCCACAGCAATTTAAATGGAGATAGAGAGATGAAACGAAACAAAATGCAGTTGACGGGAAAACAGATTTACTGCTTGATAGTGTCTGACACAAATTTGTTTAAGACTGGCAACGCTTTGTGAGCTGATCTCCAATTTAAGAAGCTAACAGGAGAGGCATGGTATGTCATTAATCTGGTGGGAATAACATCATGACAACAACATTAATTCCAAAAACAGCCTTCCACATATATTTTATATGACATTGTGTTATTTAGTTTGTGGGCTGGGACGTCTTGATGATCACTAATCAGTCACAGGATTTTACTGTTCAGTCTCCTGACCCTTGACATTTGAATTGCACCATAAAGCTTTACTGGGGGAAGTGATGATAGCGGGATCCCAAACTTTTTTATAAACATTAGATAATGAATATATCATGGACAGACTATACACAAAAAACACAAACACAGTGAAATATAGCTATATGTCAAATTTGTCATTGATAGTTTGTGGTTTATGTGACTCACCTCTCATCCTTGTTTGTTTGGATGCAACCCTCTATAATTTCCTTCACCTCAGGAATGGCTACCTTGTCAAAACTGGCAGGCTTCACCCCCTGCAAAAATCACACACAGAGAAAGAAGAGCAGTGAAAATGAGGAAGCAAAGAGAGACACTCGCTCGACGAAGGGAAGATAAACTGGAGTTTAGATAAAACAAAAAAAATGTTGTTTGTCACCCCTGCACAGGAGGGATATGAAGTCCTACAGATGCAATGTCCTATTATATAATGTTGCTGATTACATTAGACTATAGTCTGTGAAATACCAATGTAATTCAAATCAGTGAGTCAAAGACTATCACTTGACAGGCAGAGTAGTTTAGTTCCAAAAATATTCCCCATGTCCTCTTGGGAACATAAAATAAATCACAATGAAAATGGTTACTTTCAAGTGCAAATAAAGTGAATAACTATTTCCAGGGAGCCTCTGTAGGCACATTACATTTTAGGTAAACCATTCAGAAGCTCAAGACTTAACAGAGTTTTTAAAAAGATGAATGAAGCTGGACAGCAATTGAAAACCAATAAAACACTCACAAAGTCCAAACTAAAATAGAGAAAATAGTAACTAGTAAACCTGCCTGGGTTATTATAAAATATCAAAAAGGCCAAATGATAGACAGGTGAATAGATGGAGGATTAAATATAAGGTAAGAAACTCACCTAAGTTTTTGATTGTTAAGTCTGAAGCGGCTGCTTGTCAGAGAGATGGACTGACGCATTATCTCAACTTGGTTTTTGCTAGCAAATGACCACCTCTTTCTGCTCTTTCCTCAAGCTGTCTAACCTTCCTCCTCTACTTTCTTGGCCTCTCCCCTTAAACCACCCAGTTCATCATGACGCAACAACCCCCCCATCTCACTTACACATACACACACACACACAGACGCACACACACACACATGCACAAGGGCCAAACAAAGTTAGGGCTGATGGAAGTAATGGTATTAAGTCTGACAGAAGAAGGGGGGATGGAGGAGAGACAGAGGGAAAGAAAGAGAGAGAAAGAAAGCTAGATTTGTAGTTTAACAAGGCTGATTGGAGGTAAGGAATGTTCCAGAAGGAAAAGGACCATGAAGCACGTCAACAACATTGAACATCAAGGTATAAAAAGAATGAGACTGACAGATCAAGAAGCCAATATAGATTCAGGTGGTGGTAATATGACCAAGAGGAAAAGGAAATATCAAGGAATTGCATCAAAGCATAAAAACAATTAAGATCTGACAGGAAAACATCATAAAATAACTTGAATGAATGAGCCGTTCATGTAACATGCTTAATTTACAGTTACAATAAACCAGTGCTGCAACATCAGGGGGTTCATTGAGGTTAAATATGAGGACAGACATGGAGGGGTGGAAGCTGAAAGGATGGATTAAGCAGCAGAATGAAAGGAAGCAGGTGACTGTGGCACCCTGGGGGTTGTCACAAGCTTGTGTGTATGTGTGCATTTTCTGTGGCAATAATAAATACAGACAACTGAATCTGGCTGTTTGACTGGATATTTTTCTGGCGGAATAAAAACAATCTGAGAAAAATGCTGCTTTCTGTATGTAATGATACTGTTATTAATAAA